GCGGCGACGGCGGCGACGGCGGCGACCCGACGACCACGACGACTACACACCTCTTTCATTCGCCGCGTACTGTTGCATTTCGCGTTGCGTCGCGTTACGATGAGGTTGCGAGCCGACTGCCGTGTTAACACTGTTAACAGGCAAGCGTGCGCGTGTACGCGAGGAGGAGGAGGTTGTGTCGGAAAAGGGGAGAAGAATACTCCTCTCGGGCACGGCGCGGCGCCGACGAAGGTGGAAATGCGAGTTTATCCTCGTTAGACGCGTTGCTGTACTTCACCGTATGGCCGTTCTTCACAGAATTGTAATACAAATAGATACGCGTACTATAACTTCTTTCATAGGTTGCAAAATTTTTAGGCAAGTTTTTGCTGATGTATCTAAAAATTCAGCTAAATACAGGTCTGAAAATAATATTCTTTAGACCGTGGAAAATAATTATGTAGAGTACTCAAACTAATTACTAAAATGTTAACTTTTTGTAACATTAACACATTGTCTCATCACTTAAATATTCTACATAATTATTTTGATGACCTAATAAAATCACATTTCCAAATCTGTATCTGTACCTAAATTTTTTAATACTTCAGCAGAAAAATGTTCTTTCCATGTAGAAATGCGACGGGCGACAGAAAGATGAAACTGTAAGAGCATCTTTTTTAAGAATTTTTGAGAATCTGCGAATGTAAACAAATAATCTAGTAAAAACTCTAGATAAAGTTTTTTTTATGAAAGTTTAAATAAATCTAATCCTAATATTATTATATATGAGAAAAGATTAAGATTTAAAGACGCATGTACGACATGCAATCTTTAGCGTTCTTCTTCGTAGAAATTTATGTATATTATTGATCGTTACGAAGGAAGGTACAAGTTGCGCAGAAAATCAACAACTTATGTATCCCTGGTAACTTGATGAATCAAAAGGGCGCGTCAGCGAAGACAACCATCAACGACGTCAGAGTCACGAGATCGGAGTAGTAATTCGAGGTAATTGGCATGCACTCTTGAAGAATCCAAAAAATCCGGTTCGATCTCTACTCAATCGCTACTCAACCATTACCTCTGTCAAACGCGTGGAGCCTAGAAGGTAACCTATTTGCAGTGTAATCTTCGGATCGTTCTCCCCACTTTCGCGTACATTATCATGGGCAACGAAAAGGAGACGGATATAATTAGCGTCGTGGAAAGACCTGAGAAAAAAACTCTGCTCGAGAGATACAACATACCGGTGGAAAATATATCGTACGAATTCATATCGCAATGCACCGATGGGAGAACACTGGAGCGAATCGTTCTCATCTTACGGTGAGTTTCTTGAGACACCGGAAACTCCAGACGAGCGAAGAAACAACGTTCGTGTTGACGCTAATTGATTATTATCGTTTATTATTATTTTATCTTGCACTCTGATGCGTTAAAAAATTTTCTATATGTCTGCCAATCAGGTTTGAAAAGCCTGGTGCCTCTTAAACCCTCTTTATGCAAAATATTATTAATATCTTAACACTTCCTATTTTGAGTACCTCTCAACTAATCCTCGGTACATTATGATAATTATAGTACATACTGACAATTTGTAATTTTTGCGCTAACCATCAGCAAGATTTGCAATCCTACTGCTTAAAATGTCATTAAACCTGTTATTTTCCGGCACGTTTATTAACGATTTGTCATAAACTTCTCCACATGCGGTTTTAATACTAGTTCTGGGGAAGAGGGAGACTATCCAGATTTGACGAAGCATGCGGAGGAGCGTCTTGCTAGGATTAAACCGACAAGCGCTCTTTTGAGGAAGGCGGAGCCAGTTTTGAGACGAAATATGTTAAATGCGAACGAGCAGCAGGAAATCGACGATGACATCAGCAATTGGACGTGCGAGATGCAATCTCGTGAGAAAGATTTGGACGAAGGAAAAGCTATCCTTACCAACGAA